TTGTTAAATCAGAAAATAAGGAAACTTCAAAAAATAAGGAACAGGATTTTCAATTGAACTATTTAAGAGTCGATTATTTATGTAAGCAGCCGTACGTACTGCTTCACCCCAAAGGAATTTTGGTAATTTTGTCTCAAGTATCATTGCTCTAGCCTTTTCCAGTACAGTTCTATTTGCTCGTTCAGCAACACCATTTAGAAAAGGTGTATAGGGAGGTGCAGGATCTATTTTTACACCTGCTCGTTTAGCAACTTCATGCAATTCTCCACTGACATATTCTTTCGCATTGTCACAGTGTAGTTTTGTAACAGTTGGATTCAATTTAAAGAATAGCTTGAGTTCATCAGCAATGTCACTTTTTCTTTTGAGCAGTCTGATCCATAAATCTTGAATAGTCATCAATTATAGTCGTGAAATACCTTTCCCTATGGAGTGTTTGAGGTTCTATTGGACCACATATATCAGTGTGTATAGTTATAAGCGGTTTGGATTCTTTTATGCGAGGACCCTTTCTTATAGGCAAAGCACTTTGTTTGGCACGAACACATACTTCACAAAAGGATTCTTTTACAGGAAGATTCATTAGTTTTAATTTTTGATCACAGCAGTGTCCTAATCTTCTGTGCCATGAATCGTCATTCTTTACTGCTAAAGCTGTAAATAAATTTGGTGAAAAATCACTAAAATATTGTCCGCATTTGTCCAAGTATCCAAATCTAAAACGCTTGTTTTTGTTTTCAAAGTAAACTATTTCATTTTTAAAAATTACACTCAAACCTGCTGCTTCAATATTTTTGACAGAAATTAATTGTCCGTTTTTAATTTGGGAACGTAAAGAACGTCTTTTAACATTATTTCAACACCATTCTTAGTTTTACCACAAATATCACCAATTCCTTCGACTTCTAAAACCGCCGACTTAGACTCGCACTTAACAGTTCCAGTCTTAGGCTTAATTGAGGTAAACCATTCCTTGTGAGAAGACATATGAGAAGTTGCACCAGAATCAATAATAAATTGATCATGCACAAGATTTCCAGCCATAAAAGATATTGCAGGGGATGCATACTTATTACTATTTGAATTTGCCTGCTTTTTAGAATTATCAAAACATTCACTTTTAAAATGACCAGTTTTCCCACAGTTATGACCGACGCAGCTCTTTTTCCTACAAAATTTAACAGAATGTCCTTTTCTTTTACAATAAGTACAAAACAAGTCTTTACGAGCACTAATAAAAACAGAGTTATCTGTATTTGGTTTAGAATACTTATTTTCATTTTTATAATCAAACAAGAGATTCACAATCAATAAGTCTACTTGTAACAAAATCTAAACTCAAATTATTGCTTGGCTGATTCTCTAGAGATGCCTTAATATTTTCATATTCCTTTGGCAAAGACATTAAAATGTAAATAATAATATCAAAGTCACTTACTTCAGAGCCAGGAGACGCGTAGACTACTCACCAGGTTCATTATGCTGCCGATATGCTGTCTCATTGACACATCCTTGGATTTCCTTATGGTAGCTAGACGCTTACGCGTTAAAATTTGACTTACTGCACCTTTAGCGCTATACGTAGTTTGTAGTTTCTTCCATATTTTACATGCAGTGTCTTCATGTTGAAGAAAAGCAATAACATTATCACTTAGAAGTGCAAGTATTAAGGCATAAGCCTTTTTTGATTTCAAAACATCTGCAACTCTGTCCGCAACTGCTTCTGTTTCCAAAAACGTATCCAATTCCCTTGCCGTAAATAATGCTCGAACTCTCCGATACCAAACTGTAAAGTTATTAACACCGTCAAATGTTGCTACACCAAAAGCTTCCCTTTCACCTCCGGAAAAAGCCATCATTCACGATACACCAAATCAAAATCACGCAAACGATAAATTATTACACTGAAGGTTCAATTGGGGAAAATATCAGTGAATTCTAACTTTTGAAGGAACCACGCTCTGCTGTTAAACATAGAAAATGCAGTGGTTTGCAAAGCAAATATTTATTACTGAGATATGCAGAGATACAAGCAGAGTTACATGCAAGCAGAAATAAGTAAGTACAAGCACCAGCCGCGGTAAGCGGTTACAAAGGTCATATATATAACTTTAGACAGATCATGGTTTAACAAATCATAAACAAGACACAATAAATAACCAATCAAAAGAAACATACAGAATGAGATAACTTTCAGAATAACTCGGACCTGGCTGAAAGCTAATGAATGTATCGGACTTGACAGAAAGCTATACTTCCCTTTAACCAGTAAGAATGCGATTACAAATATCTCAAAAAATTATTCAATTAAACATATGTCAGTAATAGATAATTCATCCCTATCTTTTATGCCTAAGTTTTCCAATTCCCATAAAACTTGAACATCTGTTCCTATACTCAAGTTAGAAGATACTATATTTACACAACTAGATTTATTGCACGTCTGCTGAATTCCCTGCAGAGTAAATCCAAAAATTGTCGGTATGCAATTAAAAGTTTTACTTATTTTCCGAAACTCGGAACCCTCAGTAGTATTCGAGAACATGTCCCCTCCAATTAATGTGGTTACCAACTGATCATCATTTTTACCTTCATCAGCTAAAGTAATACCCTGGATTTTCAAAACTCTCTGTATTTTATCGTTTGGCGCTGCCGTAATTGTATCAGTAATTAAAGCTTCGATTTCAATAAATTTATCTGCAGTTGCTTTTGATGAACCAAAAGTACATTTTATGTACAAGATTTTAGCCCTTTGAGCGAATACTTTCTGGCCAATTTTTTAGTTTTGCCAATGATGCAAAGATGGCAAACCTGTACAAACCTTTCTGTTTTGAATTGCATGTATTTAGAATGGAGTCTAATGAGAGTAATGGAAGTTATTAATTACTTTGTGTTCTTAATGGGTTTTTTCAACTACATCTTAGTTCATTGGATTATCTGTTTACAGGTAAACATTTAAGATTTTTTCACTTTTGTTTTTTCACTTCCGTTCATTTCTTTTAAAAGGAAAAAGAATTCTCTCTCCTTTTTTTAAATTATTCTAATTTTTTTGATTGGAATTTACTTTGTATTTTCCTTGCTTTGGGAAAGGGCCAGAATTTTTGGGTGAACTATTATAATACATTGAAATGTTCATTGGCTGGTTCTGGATACAGAAAAGCAAGGATTTTTTTTAGAAGAGAGATTTCAATTAATTTCAAAGTTCCTCCCCTCCCTTTTGTGAAATATTAGTTCTAAATTTCTTACTTTATGTCTTTAATAATATATATTTGAGTTGATTTTTATTTGTAATATATATATGTATTTATTTGTAATATATATATTTATTTGTAATATATATATGCACACACTGATCATCAAAATATAGTGATTAATTAATCTATTCATTTTATGTCAAAACTGATATATATCAGCAACAAAAAGCTACAACTTTGAAGTTTTTGAATCCTTTTGCAAATTCTAATTCTTTCAAGCAGTGCAAATATGAGAGTTCATTATTCAAGCAGTATGAATATGACATGAGTTTAATAGAATTTATTTTTACTTTTAGCACACATCAGTTTTTCATTTTATATTTTTTATGCTCACTTTTTGCAATATCTAAAATGAAAATAGGGATTTGTTGTCTTAATCAAATGTCCCATTTATAATGATAAATGACTTTTTGTAGCAAGCATGTTGTTCTTGCAATTTCAAGCCACTAAAAAAGAAGAGGAAAGTATTATCAAAGTTCACGCAGTTTACAGTTTTTCTAACAGTTCCATTGTTGAACTTACTTGTTGTGTATTTAGGTGAGAAATTGAAATGTCAGCTAATGTTTGTTGGTCTAGTACAGTTGGAAGATTGATAAGACCTTTTTAATTAAAGCATCTGTGAACACATATTATTTGCATTCATTTAAATTTTTATTTTTGTGAATGCAAATAATATTAGAGGTTGGCAATGTGAAGCCTCCCTACATTTTCTTAAAGTATGAACTCAATAAAATTCTGTGAATGACATTATCATTTAGGAAAAAAAAATATATTGATGAATACTTTTCAAAATAATCTGTATAGAAATGCTTGCTACTTAATCTTTTAATATCATAAAAAAAAAAATTTCTAAACAATATTTTATTTTTAGTTTTGTTGAAATGGAAAATGTCACTTTTCAGTTTCCTGAATTTAGTCTTTGATTTTATTGTCAATTACTTGTGAATTTTTTCATATGGGAGTATCACTTTTTGTGTTTTATTTTTCACAGCAAGTAGAAAATTTTCATAAATTTAAGTATGGGCATTGGAAGAAGGTACAGAAAGGTTGATTTCATAATTTTTACAAAATTGATTTTTTGAAATTAAAAAATGCTAATGTGAATATTTGGATCATTTAAAATATTTTTGTAACTTGAAGTCTATGTCTAGATGGTTATATAAATAAAAGCCCAATAAGGACTTCAGTGAAACAGTGTCTATAGTTCTAATTTGTTCAAAAGGTATATATTTAACATTTTGATAATTTTTTTAAAGGAAATGCACAAGTGTGCACATATTTTTTATATTGGTTCAGTAATGATATAGTTTTTAAATATACAGTGATGGATATTTATAAAGAAAAGCAAAAATATATATATATATATATAGATATATATATATATATATTAAAAAAATTATACATCATACATTTGATATGATTATTTTGCTCTGCCATGGCAAATTTCACTTTTAAACTATTTTTTGTATTGTTAGCACTATTTTAGCAAATTAATAATGTGGATTGTTAAATGCATGGTGCACTCTTGTACTGTGAACGTAAATGGGAACAATTGCATTAAATAATGCAAGTTTTCTTGTCTAGCTAAGAAAATTATTTTTGAGTAGATGGAAAAATTCTTTGTAGATTACCATGTGTTGATAATATAAAAACAAAAATATTCAAAATTTTGTATTTGTCTGATCATACAACAAAAATGTTTAACTGTGTTTCTCTTGATTAATATTGATTCTTCTTTACCTAAAGCATAAGTAATGAAAAGCCTGATCTGCATCCAGAGAAAAGAGTAAAAGCTGCATATCAAGCTTATGAAGAAAGGAATCTTCCCAGGTTAAAAGCAGAGAATTCAAACCTCAGACTGTCACAGTTAAAACAAATGTTGAAAAAAGACTGGATGAAGTCCCCTGAAAATCCATTAAACCAGAGGCATGCTGGTTTTAAGGCATGATGAAAAGCAAGTGTTCAACTGAATGTTAAATGTTTTGTAACTGTGTGTTAAAATTTTGCATTATTAAAAGAAGTATGACTGCACTGTGTTAATAAAAACAGAATTATGAAGAAGCATTTTTATTTAATTGTTATGAATTCCCTTGCACAGTTTTTGATGTGTTGAAACAATGTTTGTCATGTAGAAATTATTAAGTATTTTAGGTCAAGTTTTTTTTACCAAAAAAAAAAAAAAAAAAAAGACTAAACTGTTTCTGAATTAATCATGATAGAAATAACAAAACATATTCTTTCATTTAAATATTTACATTTTATTTTAATATTGGTTCCTAAATATGTTTTTATTTTTATATGCCTTGTCAAATTTACCATATTTAAATAAAAACTACAATGATTGTTTTTAAGATCTTTTTATTAAAAATTTCTAAAAAGTGAGCATTTTTTATAACCAACTGGAATGCCTCATTTTTAAAAGAAAACAGTTTGATTAATAGTTACATAATTTTTCTGAAAAAAAATACAATTTCAAATTTCTGCATAAGCTATGAATATCTTAACATTCAGCTTAAAATTTAACTCTGCATATTGTCACTTTAGATAGTGAACCTAATTACCTAGATTATTATTCAACTTTTAATTAAATATAAAGTTAATAAAGAAATAATTCAATCTTCTAGAAAAGATTTTTGCAGTACTAATTTATGTTGAAATTTATTTATATAATACCCACTGTTATCAAATAAATTTTAGAGTAAAAATTATCTTGAAGTTTATTTTTTCAATTTTTTGGGGGGCATTAATATATTTTCTACAATTATAATTTTACATCCTGATTTAACTCATACCTGATATATGCTTGTCAAATATATTCGAATAATTTGTTGCTAAAGTGACACTATGCTTTCTCTAATGTAATTTATGAAAAATTAAAATCAGCAAGCTGACATAACAAACAACATATTTTCTCTAGCAATTATATGATTAAAAACTGGTACGTAACAAATGTCTAACATTTAACCAGATAAATACTATTCATATATTATATTAAACTTCTCTACATGCAGCCAATATATATTCTGTAATGAAACAAAAAATATGTATTTACAAGTATGTACAATAGATGTAAATAACAGTATCACAATTTTTTATGCAAATATTTTACAAACAATTTAGTATTTTTTAATCATAACTAATTCCAAAAATAAAGGAATATAATAGGCATGTTCCTTTCAACAAAATATACATTTCAACAGCTTCAAAATACATATTTGTCTATCTTACAAGGCACCTTATATAACAAAGTCGGTCAAACAAATTTAAGCATCTTCATTAACTACATTTATGAGATCTATCATAGAGTAATAGTTTCTTCTTAAAATCAGTAATATATGTAAACTCTAAAATTAATCATCTGTACATCAAAATTTTGAAATATATTACATTTAATACTTTGAGGACTGCAATAACATTTATGATTCTCTTGCACTTTTCGTCAAAGTGGAATTCAGCTGCTTGTCAAAAAAACTGATGTTATATCACTGCATTAGTTATTCTCAGATTAGAATAACCACAGTATTTTCAGTTAAGAGCAGTGATCACTTCTAGTTTAGTTCTGATTATAAAAATATTTAAATTTATAGTTAAATTTTAATTTGCATTTACTTTCTCAGTTTTGTAATATGTTACTCAAATATACTTAAAGCTTATCTATTATACAAAATATAGTATTATTTATGCATTATAAAAATTATTTAAAAAAAAAGTTTAAATCTTCTATATTTGTTACATGACCTAAATTCAAAATTTCAGTCCCCAGAATATTAATAACAAACTAACATAGTTGCATTTATACTAGTCTAAATATTAAAACTTAAATTAACAGAACTGCAAGCATGCATTTAACATTTTCACATAAAGAAATGGATATGCAAACTACTAGATTAAGATTATAAATTCATATATGCATTAAAAACAGTTTTAAATAAATATTGAATAATTACTGTACATAAAAAATGTTATATGGAAGTATTTAACCATTTAATACATACTTTATTTTAAAGGTTCCATATCAAGCACATTTTTTCCCTCATCTAGCATTAATGCATACATGATTATTATAGAATTTTAGCTTATAAACTTTCACTTAAACAGTAAAATCTCATAATATTTCAACAAGGAATCACATTCCTAAAAACATATAAATGCATATGTAAAAACAATCTATGCTCCTTCTCTTTCAAATTTTCAAATTATTATGATACATTTCTACAGCTCTATGTACAGTTTGTACAAATTCATTTACATCAACAACAGTGTCAGCACCATTCCTAAATATATCTTCTGGAATTCGCCGATCGAGTTCTGGATGATTGTTATGCCATTCTAAATATGGGCCCCGAGCTTTCAGCAGATTGGCAAATTCTTCGACATTGAGTTGAGCCTAAAGATTAAAAATGTATATATATTTAATACCTTTTAATCTCTAATATTAAATAATGAATAGATATGCATATTCCTCACATTGTAGGAAAATGAAAGGTACTAAAAGACATTGTGTAAAATATATGTCCAAAATTTACGAATTTCTCACATTGTATAAGAAATGTACTTAATTTTGAACACAGTCTTCGAACATTGCATTTGCATTGTGAAGCCCAATCTTGAATCTGTTTTTTCATTTGTATTGCATTTAATGAAAGTGATATAACATTTTTGTGTGTCTACTCAACAAAGCTAAGATATTTGTATTTCAAATTTACTAAAAGAACTCTGTGATTTAAAAGAAATGTGTTGCTACTGCCTAATATAATATTTTGATATTTTCCACATAACAGTTTGTTACCATTTGGCAAAGCATTCTGTATTAATTAGCAAGCTAAGCAATAAATGCAAATTCATTTCAGTTATTAATTACTAGCTGGATTCATTAAAATAATACTTTCTTTTCTATAACTACTACTTTAGGTGGCTGTCTAAATAGCCAATTTTTATCATTTCAGTTATTAATTACTAGGTGGATTCATTAAAATAATACTTTCTTTTTTATAACTACTACTTTAGGTGGCTGTCTAAATAGGCAATTTTTATTATAACTAAGAAAGTTTTTAATTTTCTTTTTATTATTTCAGTTATTAATTACTAGCTGGATTCATTATAATAATACTTTCTTTTTTATAACTACTACTTTAAGTGGCTGTCTAAATAGGCAATTTTTATTATAACTAAGAAAGTTTTTAATTTTCTTTTTATCATTTCAGTTATTAATTAGTAGCTGGATTCACTAAAGTAATACTTTTTTTTTTTATAACTGCTACTTTAGGTTGCTGTCTAAATAGGCAATTTTTATTATAACTAAGAAAGTTTTTAATTTTTTTTTTAAGTATAAACATATTTAAATATAACATTTTAAGTAAAAACTGTCAACTCTGTTGGTTTCACTTGCAGACTTCTGGTTTCCTAGTAGACCACTGAATCTCCCTGTTTTTAGACTTTACTACGGAAAATGATATCTATTAAATCAGTAAGACTTAAAATTCTATTTCCAGTCTTTAATGATTTTCAACATAACTTTTCTTATTAATTTAGAGGTCAAACAACAAAAAATCAGCGTTATATTTTCAAATTTTCACAGGACTTGTTTCAAAGGTTTTACTGAACCATCATCCTCAGCTGCAAAGCGCAAAAGTCCTCAGTTTTTTGCATTTTTGCAGCTGACCAAACCATCAAAACTAGTCCTGTGAAAATCTGAAAATATAACACTGATTTTTGTTGTTTGACTTCTAAATTAATATTTGTTCAGCATGTTATTGTATCTTAAGTATAACTTTTCTTATTAAAGTGTATTTGATCTGAATTGTCTTATCCACTGTAGACATTTGTATAGAACTTTCTATGAAAATTTACGCAATGTTTAATCATTAATATTTGTACTTAATTTTGTTTTATATCAATATATGGTGTATTGCTAATTTTGTCAACACAACATATTAATTATTAATTTTATTTTCAATAAATTTAAAACAATTCTGATAAATAAAATCTTTTCTTACTATTCAGTATTTTCTCTCTTTAAAAATGCAAGTAAATTACAAAATGAAGCTAGCCAAACAGCACATTAAGGACATCTAATTGCATATTAATATGTTTGACATCAAAATCATATAATACATGAATGATGCATTTTAAAGTGAATTTAAAACAATCTGCAGTTTTTTGAAGCAGCATGAAAATCTGGTAAACTCACAGTTTTTATATTTGAGTTAGCAGCTATGACATTGTATGTAATACATTCTTTGCTATTTATGAGAATACTCATAGTTGGCAAACTGCAAATACTTGTCAGCTATGAGATAACGTGTTTTGTCACCTTACCTGTATCATCAAGTACATGTAATGCCATAGCAAATGCATGCAATGTTGGCACATAAGGAAGGAACTAAATAATACACTTGAAATGAGTGATTTATTTCTTAAAACACAGATATAATAACTAGATGTTTAGAATGAAAAACATTTTTTAAAATTCACTTAGAAATATGAACTGCTCAAATTCTTGTTCAGTCACTTGTGTAAGACTAATATTAAAAATAATATACGGCACGCACAGGAGTTTTGCATAAATGCACAGAAAAGGTTAGTTTTGTTTATCTAGTTTGTGTTATTTCACATGCCAATTACGATTCAAGTATACTCTTGTGAATTTGTTTAATGCTAAAAGTAATCTGTTATATCTATATTTAAATAATAAAACAGAAAATAATTTTAAAGCAGAAAAGCACAGATATGATCTTGGCATGTGGGAACAGATGCACCATATCACAGCTTGGGTAGTGAATGCGTTTAAATTAAATTCTGTTTTTGTTCTCATCAATGCATTTATAATTATTATGTTTTTAATTTTCTAAGCATGAACACATTTAACATAAAATGTTTCTTAAATACTCATGTAATTTTGAGTCACAAAAATTAATTAAATAGCTTTTAAGGATATTGCACACAAAACTTTGTGTAAAAATAAAACATTTTAATATAATGAAATCTAAAAATGTGTTTTAAAATTAATTGCATATTATATTTTTCTCTTCTTTCAAGAAGCTATATTATAATTAAAATTTAGATATTTCAATCTTCGATACACAATAAAGAGAAAAAATTCAATTTCTATATTCAGATTTTGCTTCTCAGAATATATAATTTTGAAAAATATTTAAAATGATTTTTTAAATTAGTAATTTTGGCTACCTTGATCTTAATACTGGAAATTTATAAAAAATAAGTAAATTCAAATATTACCTTATATGGCACAAGTTGGACAGCAACACTTGATTTGGGCAAGTACAGTGCATTCACCAATCCAGCTCCATTCATGCCAATAAGTACATTATATTGTTGGACTTTTTCAATCTATCAAACAAAACACCATATTATATTTGGATATAAATGAATTACTGTAATTTAATTTCATAACTGCCAACCTTGAAATTTTAAAAATGGGGAGATTTTTGAGAGAAAACAAGGAGGTTTTCCTGCTGCAGGGTAACATCATTTCAAATTAACTCCAAACTTATAATTCATTTTAAAATGCATGAATCAAGTTATTGAACTGTTTGTGATAATAATTCTGGAGTAAAATATATTAGCATTAATTAAATATTCTAAGTTTAATGCTCTTTAGCTAATTTCATTTTTTAACTCTCTTATACTTTTATACTGAGAAAATCATGAGAAGTGAAGTACTTATAAATACAATGAAAGTAAAATTAACAGTAAATGTATATAGTATTTGTGTGGATAAACTTAGTAATGTACCATATATTGAAGTAAAATAAAATTAAATTCAAATACTAACTGATTACACATTGCTTGAATCTTCATATAGAAACTTACGAATGTGTACAATAGATTAAGACAGACATTTAATAAGAATAAGATCAATAAAATGTAATAAGAAAAAATACAATTCAGATTAAATAAAATTTATTCTGAAATTCAACAGTGGTAGGGGAATGAAATTTGCTTAATTTCATTAACTGCTGAGAAAAATTTTCCTTAGTCAAGGCTAAAAATTAAAAAGAAGGAGATTCGGAGATGTGAGGAAAAACCAGGAAAGTTGGCAACTATGCTTTAATACATATTTTTATAGCAGAGAAATACCATATATTTAAACAATTATTCAAATATACCTAAGCAATGAAACTTTGGCTACAGAAATTTAAAGATTGCTCAGGGGTGTGAGTCTTCCTTTTATGTTTCTTTAATTATTTAAATTTTCATGTTTAATATTGCCCTAATTATCAGAGTTTGCAATGATAGATAAAAATTTGTTACAAGAAAAATTCTGCTTGTTTCAAACATTTATTTCCTTACATCGTTCTGAATTAAAATTCCAAAAGGCTCCATAATCTTTTGACCATGCAGTTTATTTATACAAAAGAAGAAACTCTATACCCACATTTTCTTTGAACCACATAAAAAATTTAAACCGAATCATCATTAAATGTTCTTAAAATTTCACTTTGCAAGCACAATAAATTATTTACCTGTTCTTTTACAGATATATGAGAGAAATCCACCAAATCTACACTCGCAAATGATGATACACTTTTCATTAATTCGTCTTCATTTAAGATTTTTCTCCGGCCTTCCCTATAAAAAAGAGATTTCATTTATTATTTCAAACAATAAACAAGTTCTCTTATACATTTCAGAATAATAGTACAATGAACCATAATGATTGTTTAATTTTAAAATAAGCCTATTAATTACAACCTTTTTAAAATACTTTTGTGATGATTTATCGTGAATTGTAAATTTTTAATGTTTATTTCTAAATTTTGTTTCATATAAGAAATATCAGTATTCTAAGTCAAAAACTTGCTTACTGCACATATTTATGTAATAAAAAATTGTCATTCTTTATGTACAGAAAATAAAGAATAATGAAAATCCACTAATAATTTACTCTATCTGAAACCAGGTTTAAATCATTATTTTATTAATAATCATTATTTTTATCCAAATAAAGGAACAAATAGATTTTTTAAAAAATCTTTGAAATCACAGTTTCTTACAAAATGAAAAACTTACCTATGAATAAGACCAACTTTAGGCTTGTCTGCAACAGAAGCAGTACGTTTCACACCATAAGCACTCTTCACATAATCAGCATACGAATGCAAAAGGTCAGGATTAGAAAAATTTACTTTGGGAGTCTAAATAAGGAGGTAAAAGTTCAAAATTATTAATTTATCAAAATATTTCATATCATACTGTATATAAACATCACAGCTTTTAAAAAATTATGGAATCTGTACCCTTACAGGATGGGGACCTCGGTCACCAAACTGTTTTCTCGGGATGGTATGCTAATAGGACGCACTATCTTGTTGGGAAAGGCAATTTGCATTAAGCCTCACTTTGGAAAAAAATTCATATAAATTAAATTTATGGTTCAAGTGTTCCAATTTCTGACAGATTATGAGAGGAACAACTGTCAGAATTAATTAGAAAACTTTATATATATATTGCTATTTGAAGTATACAAAATATTTTGCTAAAACATAAAGAAAATATTGACATCAACAGTATCCAAACTCTAAGAAGACTGAATAAAATCTCTAAAACAACACAAAACATATAACCTCATACTGCTCAAAAAAAAAAAAAAAAAAAAAAAATCGGAAGCATCAAGAACATTCCCATGTGTTTAATCAGCTGATGCAGTTAAGCCAGCTATCTTTATTAGCACTACTCAACCCACGATTTTTTCCACTTTGATTCTGAAACAAAATGCCAAAAATAAAAAATACTAGAATGAAATGAAGGTTACCATTCTCTAGTCTCCATAAATTCCACCATAATCAAACATAGAAATACATCTAGTGACCAAAAAAGATACTAATTGAAAGTTCTATCCAAAAATTCTTTATGTGGTACACCTATTCTAAGTCAATTTTCACAGTATTCATATAAAAAGTTCAACTCCGAGATACAGTTGGCGGCCGATGCACATTACACACCCATACCAAAAGGGTTACAACATTTGTCATGATACTATCTTCATTCTCACTTAAAAATTCAGAACTATATATATATGCATAAACATTAGTGAAGCGAGAACTTATACTTCCACATTTAATGTTAACAAAGGAAAAATTATTTAAATGTATACAAAAAAAAATTTAAGAAACCTTAAATCTTTATAAATTTGATGAATGCGTCATTGCATCAAAGCATGTGCATAAATCTTATTAAATCTATATTTGGTAGTTTATATAACAATTAGCATGAAAGAAAGTTTTGGTTAGTTTCACAATGCAAAAATTACTTACACCAAAGTAAGCCTCTTGAAAGCATATAGTTTTATTGACACCCGTCAACCTACGATCCAAAGGCAACAAGCGATGAGGTTTAGAAATCATCTATATAAACAAGAAAAAAATATCTATTAATATATATAACAAAAAAGAGGAATTATTAAAATTTTTACATAAATGCATTGCAATCTTCAAAGCCCACCAGCGGCCGAGCCATAAAAGCCACTGAGTAGCCAAATGGAAGAGCACATAATAAATAAATAATAACATATTCTTCAATAAATATAAATATTCTATACATACCATAAGCATTTGCATCCAGTATGAATTTTGATCATCAAATGCATCTGTATTCCAATCAATACCCTGTAGTAAATAAACAAATAAATATATGAAGACAACAATACTTCCCAAAAATTAGTACTTTCATTCTGATGCATGTTTAAAACATACTAAGAATTTTACTAATATTACTTTAAAAAACAATTCTAATTACCAAATGACTAAAAATTAATTTTCAAATATATTCTCCTCTCGCCACATATAAAACCTTCTATGACTCTAATATATTTTTTCATTATATATACCTTCTAGACGCTAATAAAGCTTAAATGCAAGGAATGTTGTAAAATGGAAGGTTGGATCCTAGCACAACCCACACCCTTGGCGTGCATGGCATGGGTGTGGGCTGTACATCTACATGGCATGGGTATGGGCTGTACATCTGTACATCCACTTACATGGCATGTACAGATGTGTACATGGACAAAGTAATTGGAGTGTGCAATGGCAAGTTTGTGCAATTCTCTGATGTTTTTTAAGTGAAAATAGGTCGATGTGTACATGGATACAGAATTTTCAATTCTTTGACTTATTAATTTCAAGTTGGCAATTTTGAGAAACGTGCAAAGCAGTGGGTGATTCTGCACTTTCACAGTTTGTTGCCAAGGATGTGGGCTCTCCTAGGATTTTACCAAATGGAATACCTTATACTTTTTATTCATTCATCATTTAATCAAAGAAGGAATGTAAAGGGTATTTTTTATTCATTTATTAATTGAATTATAGAAAAAACTAATTAAAATTAATACATAACTGGAAAGAAAAAAATACCACTCCAACTATTAATGGATACTCTTAACCGTCATTTCAGCAATCAACACAAAGTTTTAAAATTAATTATTTATTAAACATCATAGGCTATTTCTTGAAAATTAGCTTTGTATTATTGAAGTTTTATATGTATATATGGAACAGCAATATATGTATATGTGTACAAATGAATTATGCATAGATATAACTAAACTGGTTTTATATGCAATATACGTATATGTGTACAAATGAATTATGCATAGATATAACTAAACTGGTTTTATATTTATACATATAAACTAAATTACATATGGAGATGACAAGGTATCTTCTACAAAACCTCCTACAGAAAATTTCTTTGAGAGTCAGCAGGTGATTCTAAAGACATATTTAAATGTCTTTAGAATCACCTGCTGACTTCATGCATTTCATTTTTTTTAAAAATACATTAAAACTTATATCTTATCTGGGAACTAAGAATGCATTTTACACTTCAAACAAAATATGATTTTCTTTTAACTGTATCACATGCATCTCTCTAGTTATCTTTAAAGGCTCAATAAATTTGAAAGCTTAGTCAATAAAATTACTGCTCTTTCACAGCTAATAAAATCGTCAAAATATACTTAACACATAAAAGTATTATATTAACATTAATTAATATTATAAGATTCTTTATATTATTGTATAATTTTTGAAATTTACCTCGCCTCTGACAGTTTCAATTGCAGGAAGTAGAGCCACGTCTTTTGCGCGGATGGTCTTGATGGGATCTTGATGCAGAGCAAGAAACATAGGAAGCATGGTATCGTAATGTAAATGAAAATAATTGCTGCCATGAAAGTAATAAGTGGTGAAAAAATGTCCTCTTGTGAAAACTTGATCACAAATAATATTGTTCAGTGACTGCTCGGAAACAATTTCAGAGCTTTCAAACTTCCACAAATCTCTCACTTTGTGGCATTTGTCTAACTCCCGAATATCGCCATCTACCCGCAAGATGCGATCACCTGTGTTGAAGACAACATTCTTCATTCTGCAATAGTTCGAAGGCCAGTGTCCAGGATAAATGGTGACCATTAATTTTTCACTGCAGGATGACTTTCCATTACATGTTGGCGCAGATGACACAGTAATGATAAAAAAAACGAAGATGGTGAATAGCTCACATAGGCATAACGATTTATCCATAGTTAATGATGATATAAAATTGGAACCTTGTCTGATGGAAATGATCCAAAATGTAAATAATGAATCTGCAAAATAAAAAAAGAAATCAGCAAACATAGCAACACACCGAACACAAGTAAAACACAGAAAGATACTAATGTGATAAGTAAAAAGATACATATTTAATATTATGGCGTTAATAGTCTAGCTACGAAAAAAAGATACCTTAAAAATTATAAATGCATGATGAATAAAAAGGACACAAGCACACCACGATTTTCATCGACAGCTACCGGTAGTTCACGCATACGAATGCCGAAGGTTAGGGACTTCAAAAAGTTATGTAGATGAAAAGGTTACTGCATTAAAGTTCAACTGAAATCCCCAAAATACGCCAACAGCTAATGCAGAGAGCTGTAACACTGACATTCTGCATGCAGTCCAAATATAAAAGATAAACCGCCAAATATAGAAGACTTGACACCGCAATGCGTTTGAAAGAAAGGTAATGACAAAAAAAAAGGTTCTGGGAGACTTGTTGTTGTACCTCTGCTGCGCCCGGTGATTGAGGACTGTGGGAAAGAGGCGGAGAACCGAACTTTTTCCCAGGTCCTTTTCAACTTCCCCAGTTCCCCTCTATCCCCCCCTTCGCATGCTGTTTAATCTTTCCGATACAGGGTGTTTCCCATAGCATTCCCCCTACACATAAAAAGCTATTGCTAATTATAATATTTGCAGACATAATTAAACACCGCATTCCAGTTAAAAACATCGGTGAACTTGTTTGTTACATAAATTTTACATTCAGTATACTGCATTTGTATACGTACGTACTTTACGTTACATTTACATGCAGTTTGTTACATTCATTTTACATGCAGTACACCACCACATAATCGCAATTAATGCTATCATTCAGATATTGTTATAGAATTACCGAAGTTTCGATTTTCTGAATATGAAAACTTCTAAAATATGTAGCTTATTGTGACCAACAATTCATTTCATAGGATCAAAATATTATAAAATAATTTTTTTAATTGAAGTTAAGTTGACAAATAAGTTTAAAATGCATTATGAAAATTGCCAATTTACAAAGAAATGTCGCTTAGCAAGGGATTAAGTCGCTATACATCATGGTTTCGATTTTAATCAACCATTTAAAATTAGGCATAAATAAATAAATTAATTAAAGGAATTCAAATCTGAAAGAGTTCAGACTTTAACGTTCGTTCAAAACAGCTCTTTTAAAGTTTAATGTCGTTAATCAACACAGATGGAGTAGCGAAAAAAATGCATTTACTCTAACATGGAAACGGTATAGAGCTTATGTGTATTTAGAAAGTGAACAAGTAGGTAATGTAATTCTGTAAAAATATTTTAAGGTTTTTTAATTAAATAAATCCTGAATTAAATGCATTTTTTAAATCAATCAGACTGGAAAAAAAAATATATTTTTAAGACCCTCAATTTTAGTTGCATTTTAAATTAGTTTAATTTCTTCATTCATAACAGGCAGATTAAATACGAAAGAATAATATATTTCGTTTATCCGAATAGCAACTGACTCGAATGAAAAGTGACAATGCGTTTACAATGTACCATGCAAAATTGCGTTTTGAGACTAATAGCCCGTTTGAGCATGGAAAAAAAAAAAAAAAAAAATTTATTTTGACACAGATGTTCTGTAACTATAACGATTTTGAGGGGGATCAGACACAGGTCATTCTTCAGAAGCAAAAAAGTCTGCAGCCCTGAAAATATCTACTCCAAACTAAGGTCGCATTTTTGGGTTGGGGTGGGGCTAATTTTAAATTGCACATTCAAAAGTTCTTTTCCAATGAAGGATGCCCTTCTACGACTAAGTAAGGATACAGCATCGGTCAAATAATTTCTGGGGACGTTATGGACAGTTCATAAACACATTTTTGCATTTTCCTATTTAAAATGCTGTGAAAGTGCCTATTTTATGCTTCTGGTTATATTTATATTAAATAAGTTATATTTAATTGCTATTTCGAAGGATATTTTTTCTCATAGTTTAATATTATAAAAGTAGCCATGGATAAACGTGATCACATTATGCGACGTCTGCTGCAAATAATTAGTCGTGAGCTACCCAAGTGATCTGCGAAATTTTAACAATTCAACTCAACACAGACAAGAAAGAGAGGAAAATTCTCAAATATAAATCACAATGATAATAAAAATTGCATTTACAGTGTTGTGACTATCTATCACGAGAGACAGTAATTTTTTGTTAAATAAAATATTAAAAAATATAATAAAATATAAATTTTGAAAATAATAAAATAACAAATATTAAAAAGATTCTATAATTAATAACTAAATACATAAAAAATAACAAAAATATATAATTATAATATCCTATTACTAATTTTGTATAATGTAAAATGAACAGCTTCAAGAAAAGCCAAGCTCTGCCAAAAAGATAATATTACAAGGGTAAGTCTATTTAACATCAAGGTAAAAAGTCACGTCGCTAAATTGGCGAGAAATCGCTAAGCTGGCGATGGTTTTGATGACGTCGCCAAAGGAAGCGACCATTTGGCCCAGTCCCTGAAGGACTGTAATTGATCTCTATATGTAACAGTAACCGCATCCGGCCCTTATGTGTAACTTTAACCATATATGCCTTCCAGTAATTTCGTGAAATGGAAGGTACTAGAGATTTCTTGGCGGCCGGAGGAAAACTATAGCAGCTCGGAGAAAGCATCAGTTCTCAGTTTCCATTTCAGACCTGACTTCGGAATACTGAGAGATCTTCGTGCGAGCTTCGATCTTTGTTTGCATTGCGTTGTGTTTGACGTTATTAGTAGTAAGGAGTAGTAACTATTGATTGTGCTCTTTCCTACTGGAAGAGCTGCACGAGTACTTTCGTAGAAAGTTACAAAACTGTAATGTGTTTCTTTTCAGAAAATAAACTTTACCAAGCTATCATCGATTCTCTGTTCGAATTACGAAACCGTACGTATTAAGAAACCGTATTGTTACCTGTGTAACAATATTAATAAAAATTCGAACTCCATCCAAAATCGAGACGTATATAAAAAGGACTCCTGAGACGAACTCATTACAAAAATATTATCTCAACTGACACCGAGAATGTGTTGGCGAATTTACAGATGAAATTGAGAGATATTTAATGAATATACTCTAGTGAATATCTCCGAATTTTACAAATATTTAAAAGCACAATTCCTAGAAAAATCGCAAATTTGCATCTTACGTAATATTTATGTTCGGTAGAACATATCAATGTGAAGAACTTTTCTTGTGTATGAAAAGGATTAAGTACTCAGCGAAATGCAACTTAACCCTTTGCGGCACAGTGTGTGTTACATCTGGACACGTCTAAAAATTTCATTTTGTACGCACAGAAAAATTGAATGAAAAAAGAGTTATAGGTTACTATGAACCTTCTTTATTTATAGTAAATGGCAGCTCAACACAAACCAGTCCATATATATTTTAGCCCATGTTTAGTTTTTTAAGACTCTCATTTTTCAAAGAAATCTTCCAGATTTTTTTAGGGTATAAAAGAAATTGTTTGAAAAAAAATTTCTATGTTAATTTTTTGGCTGTATGCTAATCTCCTTATTCTATATTAGTTTTAAATTTTTACCTTGAAATCTTGCTTAAAATCAAACGGCGAACCCTAGATTGTGCCCAGACCGGGCTCACTGATAATCTAGGACAACTGAGAATTTGTATTCTTTGCTTTTCCGCATCTGATCGGTCAGTTCATTGACAACAATGCTCGTTTCAGCACTCTTTTCTAAGTTCTATTTAATCAGTGTGCCCACTTTCGGCACTCCCACAGAATTAAAAGATAAGCTCTATCTTCACAAAATTTTACTTGTGTACTTCTTTAGGCCTAATTAGACTGCCTTTTTTTTTTTTTTTTTTTTTTTTTTTTTAAATCAAAACTCCAACTTTAAAAGGTAGCGTGCCGGAAAGGGTTAACAAACATACATCTGACTTTTGTTCTAAAACTTGTAAGCGCGAGCAGATTGGAATAAAGAGAATAACAGGCATCGATCTACAACCAGGATTTCTTTATACTTCCGTTTTTTAAGTAATAGAATCACATAAAATTTTATGTACCTACTCAGTTTTTAAATATATTACTAAGTAAAATAGTTTTTATCAGTTATTTTTACCCGCCAAACTCTATACACTGGGGTGCGAAATTAAGGGATTTGCGCATTGACGTCTACTTTTAAACGAAAAGTTTTAAACCAAAGGCACTAATTATGCAAATATTCAGAGTCGAATATGTAAGCGTACAAGTGCGTGCCTGCGAAGCAATGCTATGGAGGGGATATAAGCGTAGGAGCGGTTTTCGGCGATTTTCTGTGCTCGTACTCCTTCACGACAATCGCCCCGTTTCTCGCCAAGAGTTGAGCAATTCTTATAAATCAGGTAAAATGAGTAGCTACGAAGGTATGGATGACGAAATGAGACCGCGATTTATCGGCAGATTGAAGGCAGAGCAATCAAAAGAGGAGGTGGCTACAGAGCTCAATGTAACGAGTGTGATCTGTAATTTGTGGAAACGGTTTCAGAACACTGGATCTATATCGAGAAGACCTAGACAAGGTCAACTACGATCCACAACGACGAACGAATCGTTTTTTGGCACCTTCAGCAAGACGATTATAGAACTGCTACAGTTTCACAGCTCTCACGTGAGCTTTATGCTGCCACTAGAAGTAGAGTTTTCCGATTTACCGTTGCTCGAAGGCTTCATGTGTGCCAGGAGACCGGATGTTTGCATCCCGCTTACTGCAGAACAAAAGACAATGTATTTAGTTAGCATAGTGCAGATAACATCAGTGGCGTAGCAAGCATAACTGGCGCCCGGGGCAAAATACCTTTTTGGCGCCCCCCCCAAAAAAAACACAGTATACTGTTGTATAGAATATATTCGTAATAAGAAAATAATGCAAATAATATTAAAATGCTGAATCTGCCATAAAATACTCTAAAATATATTAAGAATAGTCACTACCTAACTGCACTAGCATTGGATTCGAAATGTATCTGTGTCGGCGGAAAAAAAATCGACATACGATGATCTGGAATAGTTAAAAACGTTTATTTGTTTACATATTTTTATAATTGTTTTTTTTTAAAAATGTATAATTTTATACTATTAAAAGTTTAATATATATTATAGAGAAGTAGATATATTTATTAATAATAGTATAATATTATAAATCATTAATACAATTAATTACTATGTATACATTTTTCTTGCCTTCTATGAAGCAAATTTATCAATTACTTCATTAAAGTCGATTCTTTCAAATTTTTCTCTTTCCACATTTAAAAAGGCTAGATGACTTAGGGGATCTTGCCCCATCCTTGATTGCAAATATGTCAAAATTTATTTTAATTTGCTGCATGAACGTTCATAGCTAGTATATGATAAGGAAATAGTAAGGAGTATTTGAAGTGCGAGTCTTAGGCTGCTATCACACGTCGGTTTGTTTCGGAAGAACAACTGTTTGGAACAATTTTTCTGCTTTGT